TGTACCGCAACCTTTTTTTCCCTCACAGCACACCTAGACCCTTCTCAGATTTCCGCACCTCCCCACAATAAAAAGATGAAGAAAAAAAAAACTTCTTTTCTGTTGTTTTACAGCTCTCTTTACATTTACCAACATTTTCCTTTTTTTTATTTTTTTTTTTTTTTTAATTTTCTCTTTTATGTGATTTTAACATGTTCTTGTTTTTTTTTTTTTCTAATTCCCCAAACTTAAAATAGTTTTTTTTTTTTTTATATTTTTATCCGCACCTCCCCACAATAAAAAGATGAAGAAAAAAAAAACTTCTTTTCTGTTGTTTTACAGCTCTCTTTACATTTACCAACATTTTCCTTTTTTTTATTTTTTTTTTTTTTTTAAATTTCTCTTAGATGTGAATTTAACATGAGCTGGTATATTTTTTATTCCAAGTCACACAACGTAAAATAGTTGTGTTTTTTTTTCAATTTTTAAGCATGCATATCACATAGAACAGAAATATAAAGTAAATATTATTTTTTTAACTGGCTTTTCACTATTTGACTTTTGTTTTTTTGTTTGTTTTTTAAACACAACTGCTTGTATCCCATTTAAAGTGGTAATGTTATCATTTCTTTTAAAACTCTGTATATTATTGATGAACACAATGAAAAAGTCCCATTCAAATACACAAAGAGTCTTCCGATACCAATACAAGCAGGCACCCCTAATGTACTTGTGACATTCATGTTTCAAGTTGGCAGATTTATTTCAAAGTTTAAAAATGGGGGGGGGCACAAAAAAAGCTTTTTTTTTTAAATGTACATATATATGTGTAATAAATGAGATGCAAAATTTGAGGTACCCTCAGTCTCGGGCTGAGTAGTATGTGTTAGGTTTGTTTTCATTGACCCCGGTAATGTTAAGAATTGTTTAACAACCAGTCAAATGAACGGCTAGTGAAAGTATTACATAGTACAGTACAGGCATGAAAAGCTTTCAATCAAAAGTTAAAGCAACGGAGACATATTTTACTGGTTGCTTCAGACACATTGAGATGGTGACTTGTCAAGTGCACTGCCAAATACAAACCTGCAATTGGGCTGTGCCATTTGACTTCAAATGTTTGACAGCTTGCTGTTTAGATAATCATTGTCCCCAATGGTTTAACACATTTATACCCATCCACGAGTTTTTCATCCCCTGGGAGGAAATTAGCCACACCATGCATCATCGGTTGCTGAGCTCTTCAACATAAAAAAACATTAATGTGATTATAAATTAAATTTACATAATCTACCCATTTCCCACATATGCTTAAAAAGTGAAAGAAAATAAAAGAATAAGAATGGAGGCAAGTATTTTGATAGATGCATGTGCCGCCATTCTTTTTCTTTTCGTTCATTTTTTAAGTATAAGTAGGATGTCCAAAAATTATGTCAATTTAATTTACAATTATGTGAATGTTTTTTGTTGTGCTTATGAAAGCTCTTTGAATTTGTATTTTGTCTTATCATAATGACAGCTGAACATATAGTGTCTTTTTTTTTTTACACAAATTATTGGTGTCTCATTAATCCACTTAAAAGTTTTGTCACAGTTTTGTCCAAACCCCATGCAAGGAAATAATTATATTATAAAGATTTTTTTGTTTTTTTTAACAATCCATTTTTTTTAAAAATTGCCAATAGACAACTTTTATTTCGATTTTTATTATTTATATATCAACATCTTGTAATACACCTGCGAACATTCTGGACACACCACTACACTGATTTAAAACTGTCTCTAGAGTGTTACCTAAGCATAGGACATTGATATAGTTTAAGTCTGATATCTTTCTTCACTGGTCTCTTAAAACTTTACTGAACATGTTTGTAAACTTTTTTTTAAAAATGTGAAAATAAAAGAAAGAAGAAAAAAAATATCCCATTTAAAAGCAATTATATCCCGCAATGCTGTAGGTTTGAATAATTGAGTTGAGCTCTTGAGGTATTTCCACTTGTCACTGCTGGTGTGTTGTCTCAGATGTCAATTCTGATGCCTGCCTACACATTGCTTGCCTGCTTGCTTACTTGACATGTTCAATGGAGCAGTTCTGTGCCCCGCCTTGATGCAGCTTTCTTGTTTTCTTTTACTTTAGTTCTCATTATTTCCTTTTTTTTTTTTTTTTTTCATGCCACAGAGGAATGTTTCTTCTCCTCAGATAGAAGCATCTCATCAATAATAATTGACATGTTCAATGGAGCAGTTCTGTGCCCCGCCTTGATGCAGCTTTCTTGTTTTCTTTTACTTTAGTTCTCATTATTTCCTTTTTTTTTTTTTTTTATTGCATGCCACAGAGGAATGTTTCATCTCCTCAGATAGAAGCATCTCATCAATAATATATGAAAAGCTTTTTTTTTCTTTTTTGCAATTAAATTAGCAATGCAAATTTAAGATGCACGCTTCAATGGTTAGAGTTTACTTGTTGATACTAAGATAAGATTTTTCAGCACATAGATAAATCTTCTTAAAAAGACAAACTTTTGTAAACTAGAGCAGTTGGAATATTAAATAAAATGTGGTAACAGTATGTGCTGCCATGCTATAAATCTAAGAAAAAAAGCAATAATGTTTTGTTTTCTTTAAATTCTTACCAAAAGTGATGACAATATGCATAGTCAGACCCTGAAGTATGCTGGCAAGTTGTGTTGTGTTGTGATGAATAAGCTTGTTGTGGAGTTTCCACTCAATTGTTAGTTGCGTAAAACTTTATAACTTCTTTGTGTTCGATGTTTTATATTTTGAGGAGAGAAAGAGTTAAAAGTATACTTCGAGCCTTTGGGGATGAAGCGTGATTTTCAAATTAACTTTATGATAATAATTAAGTAGCTCATACAAGGTTATACTTTTTTTAATGATGTCATCAATCATCTCAAACAAGGTTACAATTATTAAATGTGGGTGCTAAGAATCACCTGAATCTGGTTGGGGGGCATGTGTTTATGCACATTTGACAGGATCAGTGTGCCCATGGCAGGATCAGTGTGCCCATGACAGGATCAGTGTGCCCATGACAGGATCAGTGTGCCCATGACAGGATCAGTGTGCCCATGACAGGTTCAGGTTCAATGTGTCCATGACAGGTTCAATGTGTCCATGACAGGATCAGTGTGTCCATAACAGGTTCAGCGTGTCCATGACAGGATCAGTGTGTCCATAACAGGTTCAGCGTGCCCATGACACATAATGGTCCAGGATAATAATGATTTAATGCCCCAAAAATGTAACAACAAACAAAGGATATTTCCCTGTAGAATTGTTCAACACCTCTAAAAAAAATAATCTTTAGCTTCCTAATTCACACTGGTTCCTTAAAATTCATAATTGTAAGATTGTTAGATGGATGACTTACTTCATTGGTATTTAGATGTCATCAGTTTTTCCTGATACCCTGTTTATAATTTGGACCTCACCTTGGTGTTTCCTGCTCTATTTGGTATCGCATGTTGTGGTTCCCCGGTCACCTGTCACGTATAACAGTTTTGTCACACTAGGCTGACATTTAAACCCACTTGTAACTTTCTGATGTTGTCTTGTTTCTACTCCATGCTAGTGTGTGTGTCATTTATTGTAGCCCTGTCGAGTGGCTTGTAACCATCAGAGAGCTCTCTTGCTATTTGTAAGTTTCATTGATAAAGTCATTCTTCCAAGTTTAAATTCAATTTGTAAAGATGATTTTGTCAAGCCAAATTAATTAAGGTATTATAAATGATCTAACCCTAGGCCACGCTCCATAACATTCTTTAATTTTTTTTATTTGGCTTTTTTTTTAAACTTTCTTTTTTTTTTTCCCCTATTACAAAAAGTGTTTATTCTAGTTAAACTTAGTTTGTTGTGTTTTTTGTGTTTTGTTTCTTTGCTTTCAGTTGCCTTTATTTTTATATTTATTAAAATAGTTTTTCTTCCTGAAATAGTTTTTAATGTTTGTTTTGGTGGGGGTTTTTTCAACTTTTTGTTGTTTTTTCTTAAAAGGCATATAATAAAATATTGAGTTTATGAACACTTACGTTAAAATGTTGTCTATATTTAGCTGGCTAATATTTTACAATGCCATAATTGCTATATAAAAGATGTATTTGAAAATTTCAACAGTTGCCATAACTATTAAAAAATATAGAATTGAGAGGAATGACATCAAGATCTTTTCATTAGAACCAGCAAGTGGGAAGTCACTAAGTTACAAATGTGGAAATTAAGCTGTTAGATATGAGAAACAGGACAGTCTTATACACCAGATATAGAGTATCTATAGAGTTATTTGTATTATGTATCAATGCTTAGATAATGTCAAAGTTTGTTATATGGGATAAGGTTTTATATGTTGGAAAAGGCTGTCCACTTGTGATATGTTGCGGTCCAGAATGTTGCTAATTATGCAAAGGTTAAATGTTGTTTTTTGGATTGTTAATTTGTTTATTCTAAACACACTTGACCTTATTTGGCAGTGACCACTAGCTTTAGATAAACCTTTCAGTTCTAGCTTTTTGTTAAAAAATCAAACATCAGGTATTTAGCTAAACTCCCTACCATCATTGTTCTGGTGACTTTTTCAAAGCTTTTTTTGTAAAAATTAAATTTGCAAGCATTTGCTTCAATCACTTTTTTTAATTTAATTTGGAGTTGACCTAGATCAGTTGATCAGATGTTTTCTATGATGTTATTCATACATGTACAAACATTTTAATTCAACAACCGATTTTTATTTAATAGCATTTAAAGTTGTCATGAGACGTGAAAATGAAACGTAATTATTTCTTAAAGTAGTTTGAATTCTAACACTGTGGTAAGACCTCTTTTCAGTATTCACAAATTTAAGACCATCTCAAAAAAGTATATAAAAATAAAATTTGATCTGACTTTCAGGGGAGACAACAGCTTAAACACGCCATCCCCATCTGCTCCGTCCTCAACCAACGCAGGGAAACCATCGCCATCTTCACAGCACAAATCTCACCATCCTCAACAAGCACAGCCGTCTAATCCTGTCTTTGAGTCAAGGCAGCGACCCTCTGGTACCCATCATGGGTATTCAGATTCTACTCTGTCGTCAGGGCGGTCCTCTGATGATGGTCGAAGTTCGTACTATGGTCATTCTCGTCAGGACTCTGTGGACATGTATGGCTCACTGCGTGGCAGTCATGAGAGCCATACAAGTTCAGGGGATGAGCCGCACTCCAGGAATAGTTCACATGACAGTTCAGACTATGCCATGTCTGGTGAGTAGCAAGGATTCCATTGATTTCTTGAGTAATTTCTGATCAGATGGTCATGTTTGACCTACATAGCAACAGAGCTAGAGGTCAGACCATGTCTGGTCAGTTGATGGGATCCAAGTCATTTACTTAGCTGTCTTTTATATTTAACCTACGTAACACACAGGAAGAGGACAGTTTTGTTAAAATTTGGCCAAATAAACTACTTGTGCCAAAGCCACGGAGAAGGGTGCTCTTCCCAGATATAACTGAGCTCCTCACATGAAAATCTATTCAACATTTACTACCGTATCAAGGTATTAACAGAACTCTATTCAACATATTCTATCCTAGCCAGGTATTAACAGAACTCTATTCAACATATTCTATCCTAGCCAGATATTGGCAGATGTTTGATCATTTCTTTCTATCTTAAGTTTGATCCAATCCTATCTCCTCAGGTGTCAGTGGGAGGTCACGTTCTAGTCAACACAATCAGGTCAGTTCTTTGTGGCTCATTTTGGTCTACTTTTTTATTCTGCTCACCTGTAAGACACATTAGAAAAAGAAGGGGGGGGGGGGCTGTTTGCAGTGTTGTTTGATATATTTAATATATAGTGACAACCCACCATCTGTAGCTAAGACATTATGTCATAGTAACAACCCACCATCTGTAGCTAAGACATTTTGAAAATTGTCAATGTTTGTTGTGGTTTTTTTTCGTTTAAAAAATTCATTGTTGCAATTAATAGCCTCCCCTTCGTCGTGGAGAACGTTTGGCTGGTAGTGTAGATGTTGGTATGGAGGGTAGTGTGTACGCAGCCACAACTCAGAACCCCAACACCAAGCGTCAGTTTGCCAACATTGAGTACACTTCAGGGATTCCAGCCACAGGAAACATTGCTCTAGAGCTGCTCAAACAGACCCAGAACACCAAGTATCTGCTGGGCCAGGGCCAGAGTAGATCAGTTCATGAGCAGGTGCGCCAGCCGCAGGACTGGGGGCGTCACCCGCAAGACTCGGGGCGACATGTGCAGGACTCTGTGCGACAAGAGACTATCAACAACCCAGGGTCGGCGACAAACCTGAGTCAGATCAGTGAAGGATCGTCCGGTGGGTCCTCACAATACGCAGTTCGGGGTGACCCGGTCAGATTAATCAAAGGTGAGTCTCATGTAGATTATTTCTGGAAGTCTAGTTTTATATTCTTCTTGTCTCTTAGGCTGCACAGCTGATGTTACAAGGCATTTTTAGATGGATGTCCCATCCCCCCTCACCCATTGGTTTACTCTCAAATAAAAGATGGCTTTTAAAACAGTCTTAACATTGCTCAAAATGGTACACAAAGTTAATCAATTTTTGTCCTCCTTTGAGCAGATGAAGTGATACGTAGAAAGGAGGCCCTGGCTGCCACAAGCAGACCAAATAAACCAGTCATGAAGAAAGGTTTCACTGAACCCCCAGCCAACAGCCCCAAGGCCTCAAGAAGGTTTCCATTGTTTAAGCATTCTTTGAGTTCATTATTTTGCCTGTTAACAATTTTGTCCAATTATTTTTACAGAGAAATTGTGTAAAATCAAATTAAATGTCAATTAAGATTTGTCATCCTCGCTTTAAAAAATAAATAAAGTCAGCTGTGAATCGGTTTTGTTACAGATTTAACCACTTTAGTAATTGTTTGCCCACAGAAACTTGTCTGGTATGTCATCTGAAGAGTCATTAACATCACGACTGCGTCCTGGAGTCAGCAATCAAAAGACCTCAAAAGACTTCCAGGAAGAGCTGATGCGGCTTATAGACCCTGACCTTTCTGAAAATGACCTGGTTGGATTCAATGTAGGTTGACTAAATCAATCAGATGAGTAGTTTTATAATAATCTTAAATAATCTCAATGTGGTCTTCTGCAAGTACGTGCAGTGCTTGGACCTGTTGGCTAAATCAATCAGATGAGTAGTTTTATAATAATTTTAAATAATCTCAATGTGGTCTTCTGCAAGAACTTGCAGTGCTTGAACCTGTTGACTACCACTTAAACAATCTGCTGCGGCTGAATTCATGTCCTATTTCTATTTTGTTGTATTTGGTGGTAGAAATGAAACTCTAATCTTCTTAAAATATTATAATAAATTATGGATAATTTTGAAGGCACATGAATGCACTTCTAAAATAATATAAAGCTTAGCAAATTTGAAACAATATTGGTTTTGATGTGTATTCTTGGTTTTAAATATTAGCTTTGATCACATTGTAGTGTTGGTTAAGGCTATTTTAAATATTAGCTCTTATTACTTTGTAGTGTTGGTTAAAGCTATTTTAAATATTAGCTCTTATTACATTGTAGTGTTAGTTAAAGCTATTTTAAATATTAGCTCTTATTACATTGTAGTGTTGGTTAAAGCTATTTTAAATATTAGCTCTTATTACATTGTAGTGTTGGTTAAAGCTATTTTAAATATTAGCTCTTATTACATTGTGGTGTTGGTTAAACCTATTTTAAATATTAGCTCTTATTACATTGTAGTGTTGGTTAAAGCTATTTTAAATATTAGCTCTTATTACATTGTAGTGTTGGTTAAAGCTATTTTAAATATTAGCTCTTATTACATTGTAGTGTTGGTTAAAGCTATTTTAAATATTAGCTCTTATTACATTGTGGTGTTGGTTAAAGCTATTTTAAATATTAGCTCTTATTACATTGTAGTGTTTGGTAAAGCTGTTATGATTTATTATTTGGAAAGCTTACAATTTAAATCACTTTAAATTTTGTTTGTTTTTCTAAATCCTGGATTGCGGACCTGGTTACTCTTATTATTTTGGTGCACAATGTACTAATTTGAGATATTTTTTCAGATTGTATGACGAGTCATGACAGAACGACGATTTTAAAAGACTGGTTTGAAAAAATATTTACCTGTAGCTTGTCCCCATTAAAAATTTAATAATACATTTTCGTTGTTAGATTTAACTTTCTACATCCGTATGTGAATGGACTGAGACATACAAATAGTTGGGGACCATCCATACTTATGTTATCTACATACTGAGAGGGAAAGTGATGTGTGGTATTCATTAAGGAGCGTACGGGTGTGCGTGATAGGAGGGAGGTGCCTCATTTTGTTATGATGGTGATCTTTGTCATAGTGTTGCTTTGTTTTCTCCACAATGAACTCACTAGATTCAGCAACAGTAATATTTAGCTTAGTCGCCCTAGTGAGCGTTAGTTGTTGTTTTAACAAATACGGAAGGGGTGGGGTTTGACTTTGAAGATTTTGTGTACTCAAATTATAGACAGCATGTACATACATTTATTCTCAAATTCTGCAATAATTTTCCTGAAATTCAGAAAAATGATTTTGAAATAGAGCAAATCTAAAGAAAATGTTGCCATCCTGGGCAAGTGCCCCCTTCACCCACTTCGAATGGCCCCCCAGAGGTCAACGTGGCACTTATTTTGGGAACCACTTGGTTCACCAGTCACCTGTGAAAATCGGTCTCACATTTAGTTTACTGTAACATCACTATTGTCTATAAATAAATTGATTTTAATGGTGTTGGGGTAGGGGGGGTGTCTATAGCTCATTGTAGATGGCATTGGGAGGGGTGGCTTGTTGTAGTATGCTTTGTGGGGGGGAGTGACAAAAAAAGTAGGCATACAACAGGGGGCAAAAGTTGAATTTTTATTTTTTTTACGTACCTAATTATCTCCACTTCCCTTCTCCCAATACAACTTGCAGTAGACTATAATATCTAAACAGAATAACAAGAAATAAAATCAGGTTCCAGGATTGAAAGCATGGGTGACCAACCCCCAGATCGCATGCAGCCACGACGTTTATATTGTGGCCTGCAGGATGTATCACAAATAAACTTATTTCCACATTCAATTGGCCCTTATTTTCCTTTTTTGTAAAAATCCACATTTGAACTATAGAGAAAGCATTTTTGTGACGTTATGCGCCATTTCAGTTTACCTGCCCCATTTTTGGACTGATTTTAAACAAAAATATTGAAACTGGTAATCACAAGTTTAAAAGCTATAAATTACAATTTTACTTTCTGTTTCTACTAAAATTAAAGTATTTTTATAAACACAGCTAGGTTAAGGGAACCTAATTTTCCAAAAGCATTGCTTCTGTTGTTCTCTAAGCATAGAATGAACCAAATCTAAATGGAGGATATACGTCAAAATGCATCCATAAATTTTGAATTTATAAAAATTATTTCTACGGAGGAGCCCAAACCCCACCCGACTTACATTCATGTGACTTCAGCGATCATCCTTGTTCCCCCACCCTGACTTACATTCATCTGACTTCAGCGGCCAACCTTGTTCCCCACCCCGACTTACATTCATGTGACTTCAGCGGCCATCCTTGTTCCCCACCCCAACTTACATTCGTGTGACTTCAGCGGGCATCCTTGTTCCCCCAACCCACCCCATTGTTGTCTATCATAGTGGTAATGACGGGCACCTTTTTATTTGTGATATATTCTGAAACAATATTGTGATATTTTGGGAGTGCCATTGGTAACCAGGTCTGAGATGGCCATATAAAAATAAGTTTTCCCTTGTTTGTTTCCTAAAACCTGTAGTCACGGCCCCAAGCCTCACGTAAACCTGGTCGCCTACAAAGGACATTGTCAGATGAAAGCCTACATAACTCTAAAGGAGGAACTAGTGACAAGAATCCAGCACAGGGAGATGATCCCAACACACAGAGGTTTGGCCATTTTAATACAAAACATCAATGGGCCAGTAGTATTCATTTAAATCATTGGTTCTCAAACTTTTTCCGTCTGACCAAATCATAAGCATTTTAAGAATAAATTTTTACGGCCCTCTATGGAAGACAATGACCAGGGCATGTAATGTTCAAATAGATTTCATTTCTCTTAACTCTGAAAAATATATCTTTCATCTAATGTTTTTTGTGAGGGATAATCAAAGTCATATGTAGGCCCTAAACTTTCTTTGAAATATATCATTTTAGTTTAAAAACTCACACTGTAATGCCCACAGCCCCCTTTGATAGTCCCAGCCCCCTCCCCCCCCAAATTTTCCAAGCCTTTCAGCAGCCTTCTGGGCAACTCTACAACCCACTTTGAGAACCACTGATTTAAATGGATGAAATAACAACAGACAAGAAATCAAGAAATTCTGAAATGCAATTTTCTCGAATAGTTTAGCCCGAATTTGCTCTTAATCATTTTATGATTTTTATCCAAATGACATTACTATATTATACTTTCCTGAAACATGTGAAATTAAAGATATGGTATTAAAATACTAGACTCTTGTTATAAAATCGAATAAAAAAAATACTATACTCTTGCCATAAAATGATTTTTTAAAAACTAGACTCCGTTATAAATCATGTTGTTTATTACATTAGCAAAATTTAAAATCTTGGTTCAATGGCATCAGTTTTACTTTCTTGTGTTATCTTATCTCAGGTTATCCCCACGAGCGGTTTCAGACCTGGCCAGCGCGAGACAGAGAAGTAAGTCAACCATGGATAATCGTGTGCCCATGTTAGAGTCCGCAGCAGCTCTTGACTGGTCTAAACTGGTTAATGTGGCTTCCAAGGCTATTGATGGTTAGGACTTTTTAAATCTTTCACCTGGTCCTCAAGTTATTTGTTGCTGTTTGGATTTTGATCATAGTTCATTATTTAGGTCATCTGAGATGTCCATCTTATTATTTAGACCATCTGAGAAGTTCATTTTATTATTTAGATTTGAGAAGTTCATCTTTTTATTTAGATCATCTGAGAAGTTCATCTTATTATTTAGATCATCTGAGAAGTTCATCTTACTATTTAGATCATCTGAGCAGTTTATCTTACTATTTAGATCATCTGAGAAGTTCATCTTATTATTTAGATTTGAGAAGTTCATCTTTTTATTTAGATCATCTGAGAAGTTCATCTTATTATTTAGATCATCTGAGCAGTTTATCTTACTATTTAGATCATCTGAGAAGTTCATCTGCTTATTTAGATCATCTGAGAAGTTCATCTGCTTATTTAGATCATCTGAGAAGTTCATCTTATTATTTAGATCATCTGATAGTTCATCCTCTTATTTAGATCATCTGAGAAGTTAATCTTATTAAGATCATCTGAGAAGTTAATCTTATTTAGATCATCTGACAAGTTAATCTTATTATTTAGATCATCTGATGTGATCACTTGAATAATTCAAGCCTGAAAACCTAATGACATTAACTATTATTTAGAGCAGTGTTTTTCAACCTGGGTTCTGCAGAACCCAAGGGATCCATGAGGGCCAGCCAGGGGTTCTGCCGGTGGCCAGTAAATATATGAAAGCAATGGCTGAAATCACCACTGGACAAAGTCTGGCAGTAGCTGCACTGTGCTGTAATTAGTCCTTTTTTATCAACTTAATTATTTTTTTCCGTTTGTGTCCTAATGAGCCTTTGGCATTTGAATGAATTTTCAAAATCCTATTGTTTTGTGCAACCTGGACCAATTTATTGAAAAGAGAAAGTTAGACGATGTCACAGCTGTCAAAGTAAAACTAAGGAGCAGTCAACTGAAGCTACATTTAGTACCATGTCATATCAGCGGAATGTGCCAAAAATTGTCAATTGGAATCTTAAAGTTCGTCAGTACAGTGACTATTGAGAATTACTTTTTGTTGGTAGTGATGGGAATCTTGGGATTCACTTAATTAGGACCCATTTAGACAGAACGAATCCTTTGAGTCGATGGATTGGGTTCACTTTGGCAAGAGACCCATTTGGACAGAACAAACCCTTGGTGTCAATGGATGGGGTTCACTTGGACAAGAGACCAATTTGGAATAGAGCAAACCCTTTGTGTCAATGGATGTGGTTCACTTGGGCAGGAGACCCATTTGGACAGAACAAACCCTTTGTGTCAATGGATGTGGTTCACTTGGGCAAGAGACCCATTTGGACAGAACAAACCCCTTGTGTCAATGGATGTGGTTCACTTGGACAAGATAACCATTTGGACGGAACAAACCCTATGTGTCAATGGATGTGGTTCCCTTGGGCAAGAGACCCATTTGGACAGAACAAACCCTTTGTGTTAATGGATGTGGTTCACTTGGACAAGAGAACCATTTGGACAGAACAAACCCTTTGTGTCAATGGATGTGGTTCACTTGGGCAAGAGACCCATTTGGACAGAGCAAACCCTTTGTGTTAATGGATGTGGTTCACTTGGGCAAGAGACCCATTTGGAATAGAGCAAACCCTTTGTGTCAATGGATGTGATTCACTTGGGCAAGAGACCCATTTGGAATAGAGCAAACCCTTTGTGTCAATGGATGTGATTCACTTGGGCAAGAGACCCATTTGGAATAAAGCAAACTCTTGTTTCTTTGCGTGGGGTTCTGCTAGCCATCTAAATGCAGCAAAGGGTTTCCACTCCAATAAAAAGGTTGAAAAATACTGATTTATGATGTTGTTTCTTTTTTGTTTAAAATTGTCCATGGCACCAAAATAATAGGTTTCATTATTTCCAGATTCAAAACAACATTAAAAACCAAAGAGTTTTTTATCATGAAACAAAGAACGTTTAAAATACAATAAAGATTGAATGAAGGTTAAACCTAAAACTGGACCAAGATGTTACACTATAAATGTAGACCTTAGAGACACAACCAATATGAACATTAAAGAGCTTTTAGGGGCTCTGATGTAGACAACTGATGGAAGAAAGAAGTACCATTAAGACCGCCAGCCAACAATGTCCATTTAGTCTGTGTGCAAGTGACCCAATGCATCAACTGCTATCTTTATCCCAGAGACCAATGCATCAACTGCTATCTTTATCCCAGAGACCAATTCATCAACTGCTATTTTTATCCCAGAGACCAATTCATCAACTGCTATCTTTATCCCAGAGACTAATTCATCAACTGCTATCTTTATCCCAGAGACCAATTCATCAACTGCTATCTTTATCCCAGAGACTAATTCATCAACTGCTATCTTTATCCCAGAGACCAATTCATCAACTGCTATCTTTATCCCAGAGACCAATTCATCAACTGCTATCTTTATCCCAGAGACCAATTCATCAACTGCTATCTTTATCCCAGAGACCAATAACTGCTATCTTTATCCCAGAGACCAATTCATCAACTGCTATCTTTATCCCAGAGACCAATTCATCAACTGCTATCTTTATCCCAGAGACCAATTCATCAACTGCTATCTTTATCCCAGAGACCAATGCATCAACTGCTATCTTTATCCCAGAGACCAATGCATCAACTGCTATCTTTATCCCAGAGACAAATTCATCAACTGCTATCTTTATCCCAGGGACCAATTCATCAACTGCTATCTTTGTCCCAGAGACCAATTCATCAACTGCTATCTTTATCCCAGAGACCAATTCATCAACTGCTATCTTTATCCCAGAGACCAATTCATCAACTGCTATCTTTATCCCAGAGACCAATTCATCAACTGCTATCTTTATCCCAGATACCAATTCATCAAGCTCTAGGAGAGTTCAAGTCGTCGGTCATGACCCGGAGGATGAAACTGATTCCTTGGATGACCATCCACCACCACGGCCCCCTTCTCCACAGATGAATCTTACTTTGTCCAGTTCACCCTCAGGGTAAATATTTATATTTCAGTTATGTTCATTCTTACTGGACAGTAGAAATAACCAGTCAACATTCTATCTGGATAGTAGAAATAACAAGTCAACATTCTTACTGGACAGTAGAAATAACAAGTTAACATTCTTACTGGACAGTAGAAATAAAAAGTCAACATTCTTACTGGACATTAGAAATAACAAGTCAACATTCTTACTGGACAGAAGAAATAAGTCAACATTCTTACTGGACATTAGAAATAACAAGTCAACATTCTTACTGGACAGTAGAAATAAAAAGTCAACATTCTTACTGGACAGTAAAAATAACAAGTCAACATTCTTACTGTACAGTAGAAATAACAAGTTAACATTCTTACTGGACAGTAGAAATAACAAGTTAACATTCTTACTGTACAATAGAAATAACAAGTCAGCATTCTTACTGTACGTTAGAAATAAGTCAACATTCTTTCTGTACATTAGAAATAACAAGTCAACATTCTTACTGTACATTAGAAATGACAAAATCATGTCAAAATTTGAAGCTATAATTAACTCACATAACATCTACTTTTTACTGCCTAACCTACATTTAACCTACTCTTCCTAACTTACATTGAGGATAGATGTTAGAGTGAGAAATATAATAAAACATTTACAGGTCTGCGAGAAGAGAAAAGACCTTTTATCTCACTAAAAATGTTAGCTGATGTTGAGATGGATCCTGTGTTTCGTGCTGTTATCATTATGGAGAAATTAGTCTGTTATTTAAGTATATGGCTCGTCAATACACATCAACACACATACATTTGGTGAGATGTTTTATTAGACATCAATACACATACATTTGGTGAGATGTTTTATTAGACATCATTACACATACATTTGGTGAGATGTTTTATTAGACATCATTACACATACATTTGGTAAGATGTTTTATTAGACTTCAATACACATACATTTGGTGAGATGTTTTATTAGACATCATTACACATACATTTGGTGAGATGTTTTATTAGACATCAATACACATACATTTGGTGAGATGTTTTATTAGACATCAATACACATACTTTTGGTGAGATGTTTTATTAGACATCATTACACATACATTTGGTGAGATGTTTTATTAGACATCATTACACATACGTTTAGTGATATTTTATTTGCAATTTTTAAGTACCAATATTAAAAATTGTATTTGTATATTATCAACAAAATGAGGAGTATTTAATTTTTTTTAGTCCCCACAATCCTAGCTCTCGTATGAACTACACTTACCCTCCCCGCCCCCCTTACAGATGACCATGAGTGAGCAAGCCAGTTTGCTCAGTCATGTGTGTAAACAAAAATATAACTCTTCACACAACATGGAAATGTGAATAGAGAGTATGTCTTTAAAGATGGAACATTCTTGTCAATTCCTTTAGGAGCAAGTCAGATAAAGAAGCTCTAACATGCACACATTTTTAAAACTAACAAAACAATTTAAAAAACACAAAATTCAATCAAAAAGTACCCATAGTACCAGACCACCCATTGTACCAGTCCACCCAATGTACCAGTCCAACCATTGCAACAGTCCACCCAATGTACCAGTCCACTTAATGTACCAGTCCACCCAATGTACCAGTCTACCCATTGTACCAGACCACCCATTGTACCAGACCACCCATTGTACCAGACCACCCAATGTACCAGTCCACCCAATGTACCAGTCCAACCATTGTACCAGACCACCCATTGTACCAGTCCACCCTTTGTACCAGTCCACCCAATGTACCAGTCCACCCAATGTACCAGACCACCCATTGTACCAGTCCACCCAATGTACCAGTCCACCCAATGTACCAGACAACCCAATGTACCAGTGTAACCCTCCCCTCCATTCAATGCATGGACATATAGTTTGGGTGTTACAAATATAAAATATTTTATATTCTATATTGATGTAAACATTTCGTAATATTTCTCACAGAATGTCTTCTTCCTACGTATCCATGATGACTCCACAGCAAAAAATACATGAGTTGGAACAGAGAGTAAGCAAGTTATCTCAGGAACTGGATAAGGTGAGAGGTAATAGGGGTTGAATAGAAGTAGTCCTAGTTGGGGTTGGAAGGGGTGGAAACAATATTAGCTATAATTATCGGTGTTTGTAATAGTGGTGATAGGATCTGTTTTAATGGAAAACAACTAAGTTTAACTGATTTGTTCATTCCATGAGGTCTTCCTAATTCATTTAGGTCTTTGGAGTGATGGGGTCTTTCAATCCCAGAATCCTGCCATGAGTCCCAATAATGGCTTTATGATGCAACTTAAAATTGAGATATGAATATTAATGATTTTAAGAAATTAAAGAATTGAACAAAGAAGACCACTTATTGTACCCCATGATTAATAACAGATTTATCAAGGCTTTTCATCACATACTCTCAATGTATCTTTTAAGTGGTTGCCAACCCAGCTTACATTTGTGAATGCTTGAGATATCAGAAAGGGGTTAATAGCATTTTGGATGTCTGTGGGGAAATCTTAAATATGCCTATAAATAAAACTGAAAGCAATAAAAATCACTTTGAATTTTGCTGAGGGCTGACTTGCAGGATTGGGAAGACCAGTCTGAAGTCATTTTCTAGATTTACAAATTCCATTTTTATTCGTTATCAGAGTGTAAAACTAACACAAATTTGTTCTTTCTGTTTGGAAGCATAATTTCTTTTTAATGCATGCAATATATTTTTTTTTTACTTTAAATTAGAGTTAAATGAGGATAAGGTAAGTTATAACTAAACTTTGAGTGATCTGTTGTCAATTTTTCTGTCTTGATGTGTTTTGTTATGTGACTCACAGGTTACAAAGTGTTTTATTTCACCCCTTGAATAAATAGGTCACTGGCTAGTTTTCAACAGCACTCCTCCTCCCCCCCCCCCTGTATAATCATGTAAATAAATTTTGACATTTGTATCCAGTTAATAAACATCTATTGATTAAAATCATCCTATGATGAATGAATCTGCCATGCTTGAATGATAAAGATTGACTATGGAAATCTATTCTTCTCTGTAGATCAGACTGGAAAAGTCCGAAATGGAGGTAGAGATTCAGGAGCTCAGGGCGGACAATGTCAGACTACAGGAAGAATCTCACACGGCAGCAACACAGCTCCGACGATTCACGGAGTGGTTCTTCAACACGATAGATCGGCAGTGAACAAAACTTATCTCTAATATAATCACAGTTACTGTTGGCTCCTTCAGTTGGCTGTTAAAATCAATCTGTAATATAATTTAATTGACTTCCTAGGTTGGCTGTTTGTTGTGGCCTTATCTCTTGTCAACATTTTATGAAGAATCTATATTTAACTCCCTTCCCTTGCATCAGATGAAATCTATCTGAAATAAAAAAAACATTATTAATTCGTCCAAAGTGTCAGATATGAAGAATGAAATGAGATGTCCTGCACTGTTAACACAATAGCATAGTCAAGTCCACAATATCATTGCATCTATACATCATTGTAGGCCACTCTCACCAGCTGAGGACTTGTTTATCAGTTGTACGCAAATCCTGAAATAATACTTTCAACACATATTTGGAGCTTTTTTTTTTTTTCTCTTCTTGAAAACTCGCCATTTGAGAAAAGTGTTGATATAATGCATCAATGCAGGTTTATGAAAATATTGAGATGTAAGTAGTAAATCTTCACAAAAATTTCTACAGATAGTCATCTTCAAGTAGTTTTGTTTTATATTTTCTAATCACAAAGCAGTAGCAAATCATTCTTATTTTTTATTTATTGTTTTTATTTTTTCTCATTTATTATTTGTCATCGGTTGTTTGTTTTTTTAAAGTTTTCATCAAAGTTGTGTATTTTGATGAAGTTCTTGGGGATGATTCTATTCATTACCTTACAAAGATTTATTTTGTTATCTATATTCTTTCCAACAAAATGACTAAAATAAATTGCACTGAACACTATTTTATTCTGTTATTTTTTCCAAAACATTGTACGATTTTAAGAAAAACCACTTTTAAATATGGGCAAGTGCAATATAAGATGGCCCATAAGAGAAGTTGAAGAAAGTTTATTTCAAACAGGTGAAGAGTAAACTCATAAATTAGACTCAAAATATTTGAACATTTTGTTCAGCTCATTTTCTACATCATATTAATTTAAATGATCTTTACTCCCATTGAAAGTTTTACTCCATATTTTGAGTTTGAGTGAATTCAGCTTAAATGCTAAAACTAAATTATGTTGTGCTCAACTTATTGCCGATTAGAATGGCCCTACTTGTTTGAGTTGAATCTTTTTTAAACTCTAGTATTTTGATTTTGCTTTAGAAGTTACTTGTGTTTCTATTTGCATGTGTGATGTAGCATGATCCTGGCAGCATTAAATTTGACACTGATGTTTGATTTATCCATGTTACAAAACTGTTGTGATGAAATGAAGGAAAATTTTGTCGATAATCTATGGACTGCTGAATTCTTGAGAGATTTATTTACAGGTTGTTGACATGCAGTGTTTATCAGGCTACTGGGTCCTACTTGTTCACATTTTTAATAAGGACTGCTACTTTTAATACTTTGATTTGCTACTTTATAGTTATTTGACTTGATATTAATCCCTCCACATTGCTGCTGTGTAAAAAGTGTACAGCAAGTCACTAGTATCCTATAATTATATCCACAGCAAGTCACTGGTATCGTATAACTATATCCTATCCTAAGAGACATAGTGTCTAATAATATTTTAGTTTACACAATCACTAGTAGTCTCAGCAAATACCCGGTACTAGGTCAGGAAAATTGTTTAAATTATTTTGATTCACTTAAGTAAAATGAGGTTAACATTCTTAATTTAAAATTCTTTCACTTATTCAAAAATCAACCTTCCCCAACCATTCATCCATCCGTTTGATCTTAGTTTCAACATTTTTTTTTTAAAGTAAATCCTTAATAAAAATATAGATGAAAATATATTTGTGAAGATCCTTTTGTGCAAAGTTTGCACTGCACACAGTACAATGTCAATCCTTTTCATTTGTACAATTCACTAGGAAGCAGCTCTTGACAACTGGGTATGCTGGATGTCCTTTAATATTCACTCTCTTCTATTAGCAATTCTGTTTCATGTTCATTGTCAAGACAATGTTATGTCTGACCTGTTACAAGATTTGTTAACACTGAAATCTTGAGTGTACAGGAGAAAAGGTCAACCATGGTCTGATTTTAGTGTCTGCTTTTATGAATGAAGGTTACCATTTTATTCTACCTCTTTGAAACTCAGAGAGCATCCTAAATGAAAGTTCCTTGATCCTCTGCTGTGTACCTCATCATGACTCTACAACCTTAGGTCATCATGACTCGACGACCCTAGTTGGGTTGGCTTTAATGCTCATAAGCATGTTTATAAGCTGTCCTGCATGACATTCAAATTCAGGTCAACTATCTGTGTATGGTATGTAACATGACTTCTGGTGTCAGGTATGCAATTAGTGCTACTTGGGAATACTATTACTTCAGTGCTACTAATAAATTCTCCACATATATACATCTGCTGTATTCAGCCAAAGAATTGTAACAAATAAATGTAAGTTAACAAATTGTGTCATATACTTGGAAGTAAAGTTGTCCATTTTGATATTTTATTCCACTGTCCATCTGTCAATATAAATTATCCCACACTTAAATCATCTGAACCAACCCCATGAGCCTAACTTAACTCAATTCAACTAACTTATCTATGATGCCATCAAGATGATGAATTAACTATCCATGCTATAGATAAATTCACACTGGATCAACACAATTTTCTGAGTTGCCACTGTCCATATTTTGTTACTTGTAACCAAATTATGGTATTGTTTTACCAGTAAATATTGTTAAAGCTAAGCCTTAGAGTAAACATGTTATTTTTATACAGAGAATTATTAATTACATGACAAATTTAGCCTCAAAGAAATTGTGCAATAGATTTAGATGTTTACTTTCATAATGAACTATTATTTGAAAAGACATTAAAATGATAGTAGTAGATGACGTAACTTGAATTTGTACTTTGTTCTAGAGCATGCAGTGTAAGTTACGGTACCTAAGGTTAAGAGCACTGGCAAAAGGAAGTCAAACTAATTATCCTCGGTAATAAAATATAAATTGTTGATTCAGTCTACGATATTTGCAATAATTTATACAATCGTTTAAATTTCAGCCACCACATATTCTGAGAGTCCACATATTTTAGTGACTGATGATTTTCAACATTTATTTCACTAATCATCCTAATGTCAAATTTGTTCTATGCATTTAAAATTCAATCATAACATTATGGACTCTATAAAAACCTGGCCAAACTGCTAGTCAGCTGCACACAATGAGCATTTAAAGTAATGTGCTTGTATATTTTGACAGTATACTATGTACAGTGAAGTTACTTCTTAACATTTGTAGAAAAATGCATTATACATATAATAATGTTTTCATTCTTTTCAGAGACATTAATTCTTATCGGTCTTGCAATATTCCTGTTGTTTTCTTTGTACATAGTTTGAGAGCTTATGATTTATATTTCCATTATTTTTAATATAATATGTGAGAGTGAGAGCAAAAAGATTTTATAAAGATAAATTAATTTGAACAAATATACCTCACTTGATTATCATGAAGAGGGTTGTGGCTAAAGACAAATTTGGATTTTCAAAGAATGGCAAATGTTGTGATGGGTAATTTATTGAATGTTTCATCATTTTTTAAAAAATACTATTCAATACAGTTGTTTAAAACTTTGTGGTCTCCTTGTAAACATGACATCTTTTTAATCCATATTGCCTTGTGAAGAAAAGGCATAGCAACAATCATATAACAGTCTTAGTTATTTATAGAGTGTTACTGTTTTTTTATTTGTATCATACCAAACTGGAAAGACATGTAACTAAGTCTGTGTTGTGTTAATATTTATGTACCGGTACTCTTGATATGAGAAGCGACTGAAATTTTAGATTTTATCACCCTTTAAAACTCGTAATTTTTAAGTTTACCATAAGATTAAGTATTAACAAAAAAATTAACTAACTATTGTCGAATAATGGTAAAATTAACTTTGAAATTAACTGATGAAATGTGAAATATATTTTTACACTTAATTCAATTACTTTCTAACTATCTAGGTAAAAAAAAATTAAATATATTGAGTTTGATATCAAACAATATAATAATAGCTTTGCATTGTCATCAAGCTTACCCAAACATTATATGTTGATTGTTTCTGAATGGAACTAGTCACACAAAAAAACTATGTGAATACAAATAAGTTAAAATGCGTTTTGACTAAAAGATGCAAAGGGGCTTTCAATTTCTAATAGGTCTCCAAATAATTCATCAAAATCTTAAGACTATTTTTAACATTTCTTACAAGGCACTTAATTTATTTTTTTATACAATAATTTATTTAGGTCATTTTAAAATCTAAATGATTTGTAGTTACAGTGTCGACTTTCAATTAAATACAATTACAAGGGTAAAAAAAAAAAGTATTACTATTGTCTCTGCCGTGAAACTCTAACTTAGAGACACATTTATTTACCATTTTAACTTTTACTTTAGTAGACAATCTTTAAAAGTACCTATTTGAAAGCATCCCTGATAGAATAAGTATATTATACACTCATGTAGATTTTAATTCAAATATATTAGTGGCCACCTGATTTTTTTTTTTTTTAATCTTAAAATGTGTTTATAAACAAAAGATATATATATCGTGGAGTTTAAATCTAAGCTCATAAAATCAATTGATTCAAATCTCTATAATGGGCGAAAAGTCTCAGGATTTCATTAAGATGATAAGAATGTTGTTCAATTTCAATCTGCTTTGTAAATATTATTATATACAAGTTACTATTAATGAAGATATCATTAGATGTACTTTAATTTTCAGAGTCATTCTCTACAGCCCTATCATTAATCCATAAATTCCATTATTTTCAGTAGTTGTGTTATTTTTTAAAAAATAACTATGATTCTGAGCCCTGATTGTATTTCTTGTCTAAATATGCATGTATGAATAGTAAATCTTGAACAATAAAACAAATGCCTATCAAACAGACAGTGGTACTGTTGTCATTGAATCATATCCTTTAAGTATATGTCACAGAATGTAGATTAACCTCCTTGATGCACTTTCAACACAGCTCTATAAATAATTTAGATAAATTTGTGGAATTTTTAACGAACTTATGGAATGCTTTTCAAATTTCTTAATTTAAAAAATCTAACTAAGATAAAATAATTTAAAAGCATAAAATTGATTTATAGTTTTTAATTACAAATATTTTTAAAAATTAAATGGAAACTTTAGGTCCCAAGATGCAAAGCAAGCATTTTATTGTTAAACAAAAGTTGACGCTGGGTTAACATCATTAATGAAAATTTAGTTCAAGTTTTATTTAAAACAAAAAATAGTAAAACAACATTTTCAAAATTACCTTATTAGTATTAGTACTGTACCTTATCACCAGACACATTTTAAAATGTTAACAATTGATGAATTATACAAAAATAAATTATTGCATAAACCAACAACAAAGGGTTAAAATGGTTTTTTTTTTAAAATCCTAGTGAAAGTTCAACATTTCCTTAGTCACAACCAGAACACTCAAGTTCTCTGCTGCTGTCATTTTTACCACTAATTTATAGAGTCAAAACAATATTCACAAATGTAATTTTTTTTTAAAAGCATAACTAAGTACTCTAACATTGAATGACAATCAATGAGTCAATATTAATGCTGAAAAATTCCATTTGCACACATCTAATAAAACACAAAATTTATGCTGAACCTAATAAAAAATTACTCAATCAAATTTCATCCTGATCATTAAGTTTAACCATTTTTATAGGTAGGAGAGTGACCATCTCTTTACATAAATTCAATTCATTTTCAACAAGTTCTTGGGCTGAGGGATTATTTTCACAATAAGTAACTACAAACTTATAGCACTCTAAGCTTTTTGTCAGCATAGCAAGACGTTGTGATTTTTCTGGTAGAAGAAATTTTGAATACAATCTTCCCATACAGAAAAAAGCAACCAAAGCTGGGCGCACATCACCTTCTGGAAATTCTGGTGGTAATTCTGGTTTTCCACCTTTGAGAGAGTCAATATAGGCTTGATACTTGTCAATACTTTGCTGCACAAGGTTATTGATTTTGCTAGTACTGTAAGGGGTGGCTCGAGTTCTTTCCAGCTCAATTAAGGTGACTTTGAGGTCGACCATTTCACTGTAAGTCTCAGCTAATTCAAACATTAGTTGTCTGCACACAAGAAGATAGTGCTGGGGATTCAGCTCTTTTAACAGATCTGATAGCATATCTATTCGACGTTTGTGCATTCTACACTGACGATTCATATCCAATTCAAAAAATGCAAGAAGTTTATAAGCTCTGCTGTGGTCTTGTATAATCTCAACAGCATCACTAGCATGTGATTCTAAACTATAAAATTTCTCAGCATTCTTTATTTTATCAACAATAAATAAGAAAATTTTGCGTGCATCATCAAAAGTTCTAACTAATTTGTCTGTAATGCGCTCTTCATATGCAGTGAGTTCAAGTTGAAACTCTTGGAAAACTTTATCTGACCAGGAATCTGCAGCATTTCCATTCATATCAGAGTTTTCATTTTTTTTGTCAGCATTGTGGTCTGATGCCCTTGGTTTATTGTCACTTGAAGGGCCATCAGCTTCATCATTATCTTCAATCTCCCCTAGCATCTTATCTCTTGAAGCTTCCATTATCCCTAGCCCGTATTTAACCCAACATCTCTCAATGTCAGCCTCTCTTTGAGACTGCAGTTCCAAATCCTGTTCTGAAAGTTGCTCAACATTCTTCTTAGAACTTTCAAATATCATAGTTCCACTGGCTAAACAATGTCTTGCTTCTGTGAATTTTTCAGCAGTTAAATAATATTGTGAAAGTGTAGCTGCATTTAATCCCCAGTCAACTGGATTGTAATCTCCAGCTTGCAGCTGCCTCTGCAATGTCATATGACAATACTTTGCAGATAAACTGTTTTTCTCCAACTTAGCATAAACTTGTGCCATATAATATAATGTGTGAGTGTGAATGCTTTCAAAAGATTGACATCGCTGGCGTGCACTTTCATTCTCATCTCCTTCGTACTGTTCAAGAAGCTCTATAAATGCTAAAGGAGCATCACCAATATTCTTTTTATATACACCATATAAGTTTTCTGCACAAACTAAGTATTCCAAAGACCTGTCCAGTTCTCCTCGCTCACTCCACAAAATACCTAAATAATTCAAAATGTTCATATGCAAACTCACTGCATCATTCAATCCATGTTCTTCAATGCGTTTTAAGCATGACATGAGGCAATCTTCACCTTCAGCTAATTCTTCTGTATCCATATAGTTTAACCCGATTACTTGCTCAATACAGATTGAAAGGGTCAGAAGTTGCCGATAATCTTGGGATTTGTCAGACTGAACTTCATTAAACTTATCCGTAATTCGATTGCTAATTTCTTTATACAATTCTCTGGCTTTATACTTGGAGCGAAACGGTTCATCTCCTGGGTCATTTTTTGATTCTTCATCAGCAAAGAATTTAGCTTTTTTGTAGAGTTCTACGGCTTCGTCGCCAAGGAACCTGCATAATGCCGCCATGTTGGTTACATAGAGCTAAGAATTTCAAATAACAGTTTCGCAGATATAGTTTTAAGAAATCCTGTTTAAAAATAAACAATAACGCAAAAAAATCATTGAAATTTAGGTCTAAATTTATTAAATGAAAAAAAATATTCTTGTATATAGCTGTTTGTGTATTAATATCTTTTCATAACTTCCAATGAGCCGGTATTTCTTCCGTAACCGTTTATTTATGAACTTCCGGATTTTTGTTGTTTACATTGCCGACAAAGAATACAGTCTCAAATAGGATGGAGAAGTCACTGTGGGATATTGCCGTTGAGCAAGCAAATTCAAAAAAAAGTAAATTAATCATTGCAATATATATTAGGGGTTGGTGAACCTGGGGTTAATTACCCCAAATAAAAATGAAAATCTTGGGGTTATGAAATTTCAATGACTACATTACTATTAAGTACTATAATTATGATTATATACTCAGTTATACCGGTTTTACTAAGTAAGTAAATTTTAAATAGTAAGTTAAGTTAAGTGGAACAGTCCAAATATATGATGTGGTAAATTTGAGCAATCCGCGCCACAGCCGCCAACTTGGTTGCCATGACGGCAAATTTCATGGCAACGAAGATGGCAACCATGAAAATAAAGTAGTGCAAACTCATGTCTACTTATATAATACTAAAATGGGGAGATCAAAGTCAAAGAGTAAGAGAAAGAATGTGCTGTCTTAGCTAATTACTGAAAGAAACGAAAATAGGAACAAAAATTTAATTAAATAATTTCAGCTGGTACATTAATTTCATGATGAACGTAGTAATTGTATTGTATCCCTCTAGTTCTAGACTCTAGATATGTGGCAAGAAGTGCCAATAACCTGCAGTGCCACCTTTCCTGGCATAATTTCAGCTGGAACATTAATTTCATGATGGCAAACGTAGCAACTGGCACCTTTAATGTATCACTCTGGTATGAGGCAAGATTGTCAACAACCTGCAGTCACCCCCTTGCCCTTTCCTGGCATAATTTCAGCCAGTACATTAATTTTGTTGCAAACATAGCAATTTTATTGTATCCCTCCAGATATTTTGAAAGAAGTGTCAACGACCTGCGGTTGCTCCCTTCCCTTAACTAAATCACATGTGCTACAGTTACACACTGTGTGGTAAGAAAAGTTTAAAATGAAGAAAAACAATACAAAATATTTTTTTTTAATAATGAAAACCCAACTTACAGTTTAATAGAATACATTTTTACACACTATATTGTAGATTCCACCAAAAATAAAATCCATAAGTTGTCAGAAAAATTAATGTGATAGCCTTTTTCTAAAATGCCATAAATTTTTAATATTACAATTAACTACCCAATGATATTATAAATTAAAACATTCCATCTGCGTAATATATAGTTTAAAAAAGAAAAGTTAACCCTTTAACAATCCAAGAATAAACAAAAGGGAGAGTATCCTACTCAGAAGCTGAAAGTGGCGCAGATGGCGTAAATGGACCCAAGATATATTTAGGGGGCTTAGGCTTGGAAAGTGACAAGACAATTAAATGGACATTTAGGCTCAATGCCTTTTTCAGCAGATAATACACAACAAGAAATTAAGCTGAAACATCTGTTTAATCGTCCTGTCTTTTTTTCAAGTCTAAATATATCTTTTTCCACTATTTATTTACTACACATGGCTTGTACACAGTCCCTTATATATATTCTCATTGAACAATCAAGACATTAATCAGACATTATCATGAATAAAAATTACATTTTAAAAAAGCTTGTTCTTTGTTACAACAGAAAGTTTTGTTCTGGCAATGCACCCAACATGTTTAAAAGTTGTGGCTACTTGAAGCTCGACAGCTAGTTTAACAGCATATATGGTATATATTATTTTCACCCAATAAAACTATTGTTTTCTTTGGTCAAAGGTGTCAGGAGCTGCAAAATGTTTTCAAAATCCCCCATACGGAAGAAGTAAAAAAAGTGGCTGTCTTTTACAACCAACTTTTGCTAACAAGCATTTGCATTGTTAATGAACATAAAAGCAAAGCAGAGAAATCAATTAAAACTCATTGACATTATAGAAAGTGTTATGATATCAAATATCAAATAGCCTCACTTTTGATGTTCTTGTATCAACAAAAAAAATCATTTCTCAAAAATCTGAAGAGAAAATAAAAATGTAATCCTTTTTTTTGCTCCTTTATGAGGATTTATTAATTTATTTTATCATATTATTTTATAATGTTTATATTAATAATTTTAGTCACAGGTTAAATAGATTCAATGACTCATTTTGAATAATGATAATATATGATTTTCTCGCTTTCAAATTGAAGGGGTAATTTTAGCTTGAAAAAATATATTTTGGGGTAATAGCTCAAAATGTTCACAGAACCCTTCTCTATATGTTCACATTTTAATGTTTAATTTTTAAATCTTTGGTAACATTAATTTTATTCAATGAAGTTGTGGCATTGTAGCCCATGCTTTTACAAAACAGTGTTCAGCGCCCAACATTGTCAAGGAATTTGGGCTTGGGCTTAAGATATCAAAACATGTGACATGAATGGCTTGTCCCCCATCACTTAGAATACTTAACCACTATGTTTGCTGTTGGTAAAAGTTTAATAATTTATTTCTCTGAAACCCTTGTTCATTATGCTATGAATTATATCTAGTTGGAAAGGGGATTTTATTCGCTATACTTTAGTATGTTTACAAGTCTAATCTTTAGAGGGTACTGTAATATTAAGTGATTAAAGGAGTTTTCACATTCATCCATTTTGGATCCCAACCCCTTCTATTTAAAATATCTCAAAAACCATTTAACTTATATAAATAAAACAGTGAACAGAAACATATAGGGTTTTAGTCGAGGATTTTGACTTTTATTTAATTTGACATTTAGTCTCTAGGAGTTGTTAATTTACTGCAGGAAATCTGCCAGAAGGCATTTAATGGACTGTCTTGTTCGGAGTGTGACATACATGCCCTTTAATCTGTTCCCTCATCCCAACTTATGTTGCACGCGCTAATTCAAAGCTTTAATCACATTGCTAAAGTGCGCTATTGTTCACCGGGACGCTTCAACCAAATAAAGCTCTAGTCCCCCAGACCTAATTTTCTCAAGTTTCTAAATAAACTTAACTAAAACTGTCAGCCTCACACGCCACTGGACTACATTTTTTGCGTCGTCAGAAGGGTTTAAAAATGTGCTAATATTAAAAAAAGCACACATGCCCCACCCTCAGGTGGCCATTCTACTACAAATTAATTATTAAACAGCTGAAATTGTCTTCATTTTTATGATTGTCAAGTATTAATTACTTGATATAACTTCATCAGAATCTTATTGGCTTTTTATTTCAGTCTGTGTGCTGAATGTGTTCTAAACTTTTTTCAGGAAAATGTGCTGATGAGTCTTAAATTGTGTAAATTATTATTGTATTTTTGACATGCTGAGCACTACTTTTATGTGACCACCATCATGTTGCCCTAAAAGAATATCATGATGCAAACATGGCAATTTTATTTTATCCCTCAAATATGCACCAAAAGTAGTGTCAACCTGTGGTCACCTCCTCTCTGTCCCATTACATAGTTTTCAATGGGGATGTTTGGGATTTGTAAAGTTTAACCTTGATTTGGTTTACACCAAAAAATCTCATGAAGGGACGGAAGAGTTCTTCATACCGTTCAGTAGGAACAAACTTAATATTGACAGAACAGCTTGCTTATGCATAGATTAAATTACTGCCTATGTAACTGAGGCTTGAAGTAAAGTATCATTTGGCTGACACCAACCACTCCTTTCATTATACTGTAATGCATAATTTTTTTAAAGCTATTAAGTGCTTCCTTCTCTTTTTTATAGGTGATAATAATTATTCAAATAAAGAGTCAACTGTCATTGTCATTGGAAGTAAGAACTGTGTAAGTTTGATGAAATTTTATTTTTGTATATTATTAAATTAAAATTTATGATTTAGATGAATTTTTATTAAAAAATAATAATCAGATTAATATAATAACTTTGTTTTAATACCTGTTTAATTATCATGTCTTTTTTAATTTAATTATTTTTTTCTTTTTGATGATCATATTTTTATAAATCTTTTATTGATTTAATATTCTATTACCAAATGCCTTGCAAAAAATTATTAATCATTGAAAGATCTTGCTGAATATTTAACTTATATATGTTGTTGTTGAGCCTTCTCGTCCATGAGGGGCATCCACCGATCATCGTCGGCGTCTGCGGTTCCTCCAAGGGCATAGGCCACCTACGAGAGACCTCCAGGCATCTCTATCCTGGGCCAGCTTCTCCAGGATCTTCCATTCATGGCCAATTTTCTTGATGTCTGTCTCCAATTCTCGGCGCC